ACAGACAAACCTTAGCACTCGCCACATGTAAAACGTGTTACACGTATTTCATTAATTTTTAATCCTAAAATGTAAAGACCATTCATATATAAATACCAGCATTACGAGCGGTGTTAAGACACTAACTGTTCATTACCTGATATCATTTTGTCAGCCCTACCCGCAAGTATACAAATTTGCTCCAACTTTCGTTGTAATAAGTAAAAACTAATTGTCCCTCAGAAGAAGATGTTTCCATACATCAAAGATGTCTCAGAGATCCAGTTACTTTTACTATATGAACAAGTTAAACTGTCCAATAAAATCAAGAAGTCTCAATACATTACGGATGCCTAAGATATCTGGTCACTCGTCTTTTGTTAAAAGTGTTGGTGAGACAGAAATAGTGACCCTTGCCAAATATCGGATACCTACAAAATTACAAAAAATATCAACAAAGGGGGCCTGTACACAACCATAAACAAACACACACGGGGTCAATAATTATTCGATATTTGATTTTTATATTTACAGTATAACTGTATCATCATCGAAAATGGCGGGTATGGTTGTATCTGTAAGAAACTACTAATATCAATAAACAAATTCCACAAGCTCTTACTGAAGGCGTCAGACCTCATCCAAACAAGATGCATATTATCTCTGTGTCACACCAAATGTTACATGGTCAGCTGATCGTTCTTGGGAGTCGTTATGATATTGACTGCCACCCTGATCGATAATTATCTAGATATAAACGCGATGAAATAATCACTTATATAACGATCGAATAATCAGCATTCCATTTTCTTCCTCGTGTCGATAACAAAAACAATATTTCAATGATCCGATAAACATGACATCAATAGCCTCATTTGAAGCACGGTAGTATTATTGATGAAAATAATGTCCGGTGTGGTAGAATGCTATATTTCATTATCAAACCAGGCGTACGTATCATATGTTTGCCGAGAGGTTCTGAGAATTACGAGACTTCGGAATAATGGGTACCCTGATCATATCACAAGTAAACATAATGTCCTCGAAGCGATATAATGTTTATTGACCATGAACGTAACTAAACCTGTCTTTCATCTCCAATGTAAAATGTTTGTTCAAAATGGTTCGGACATCTGATCAAAGACTATATATCGAACATATCACGAGGCCTGATCAAACGGAAAGGTAGGATTGAAAAATATTTAACATACACGCATTGCAAGGTAAGTCAACACCGGGAGCATTGAAACGTGTAACATCTTTGCGAACTAAAAATAACGTCAAATATGGCAATAATTCCAAATGTGGTAATATGTCATGTCAAAACGTTGCAACATGTCATGTCGAAATGTGATACGTCACGTCAAAAGTTGGTAATATGTCATGTAGGATTGTGGTAATATGTCATGTCAACTGTTAGTATATCTACGCCTTTTCCAAATCTGTTGATGCCATGAAGGTAATATATTCAGTCAAAATGTAGTAATATGTCGAAATGTCGTAATATGCTATATCCAAATGTGATGTATCAAAATCTGATAAAATGTCATGTAGAAATATGACAATGTCTTGTCAAAATGTGATGATATGTCACGCCAAAAGCTGACAATCGAAATAATAAATTAACATACAACGTGTGTATAGCGCCCTATATGATTTAGGAACTAAAACACTCTATTGCGCTTATATGTCGTAATATTACGTGTCAAAATGTTGTAATATAACATGCCCAAATGTGCTATGTCATTTTGAAATATGATAATATATCCTGGCAAATAGTCAGCATTAAATAATCTCTGCAGGATAATTTCATTCTTCGTTCAGACTTGCTTCCTGACAAAACGGTTTAGATATCTTTAAGTGCCCCGTCAAGTTTAAGCTCCACATTTTCTATGTCTATTAACTAAATAGTTTCCGATAGGGAATATATACTAAAACAGTCAATAGTGTTTCCATACTAAGAGGATTTTGTATCGTAATGGTTCATAACTTTCCATGAACGATTCGTACGTCATAATATTACAAGAAGTACGTCAATACAGTTATTGGTATTATGTCGTAATATTTCATGTAGAAGGATTATCCAGGAATTTATGTTTTGTAAAGATATCGCAAGTTAAAGGTGAGGTATAATAATCTTTTGCACTTACATGGTTTAAACATCTTAAACGTCTTACTTTAGAATACTTATGTTAAGATAAATACAATTATGTGGCACAAATTTAGGGCATGCGCCATTTTGAACAAAGAGAAAAAGTAAACATATTTGCTAGTAAGAAATTATTTGGTGTAGAACCTGCTGCATCTGACATCATGGTGTGTCCAACAGTTGTGAAGTGAAATTCACTTGCAACAATCTCCAATTGTCGTCTATCATGATATTTCATGTGGAAATGCCCTCTACCAGTTTGTACATCTTGACGTTATTATTAGAGCGAGTTAAAGTTTCGCCCCTCATCAGTAATAACTCTTGTAGCATGTTTAATAAAGTTGTATGTAGAAATCGTTTCACCATCTGTTTTATCAGACAACTTTACATTCTGTCATTTGAATGTATTGCACTACTTGTTCCTAAATATAGATATTTCGGTAATGAATATTCACGAACTGCTTTATTAGATAATACTTCACCACAAAATATTCATAAACTGTTATTGAACTCAGATTTTATATGAAATATTCTTCCAGTGTTTTGATTCAGTAAGTTGGCATCCAACACTGATGGCATAATGGGCATACGTGATTAACAATAAATCCGTTCATCATGCACAACTTTATATATACTGAGGGAAACAAATAAGGGAACACCACTTCATGGCAGTGTTCCTTTATTTATTCTCAGATTTCCTCCCACAGCTCTATTCAAAGCTGGTGGTGAACACTGGAAAATATTAAAGGAACTCTTGAATTTTCTTGTGTTCCTTTATTTGTTTCTCTCAGTATATATGTGAGTGTGTACCTTCGCGACCACCCGGTGTCATAACAACATGATGACATCCATTAATGTAATTTACACACACTTCATGCTCAAGTAAATACATCTCTTTCGGCAGATAATACAGTGTTATTGTTCACTGACAGTGGCCTTTAATACCTGTGTCATATCAACTATTAAAATTGTCTCCGTCACTGTTTACAATGTGACTCGATGTAAGTACGGACAGGTGTAAATATACGCCAAGCGTGTCGAAGGAAATCAATGCATCCTTTGTTCGTTATAACAGCTACAAAATCAAGGGCTGTGCCAATTAGTTACAAAAAGGTACTGAAATATGAATGAATGTCTTTTCCTATGGGTATACGCTGCCACTGAAGCTAATATATTGCAATAGCGACAAAGACATAGCTTGTTTCTTAAGGGCAGCTCACTTCCATAGAAATTCTTCATTGAATAATTATGTTGCGAAGAATACATTATCTGAAATGAAAAGCTGCTCATACTATACTAACAAGTACTGAGCAAGGGTGATAAATAGACAGAAGCATTTTTTAAGTATACTAGTATCAATACTTGGCTTAAGAAACACAGTTCACTCTTTCCCATGCGTAGTGTAATAAAGTACAATTTTCCCCTGAACTATTATAGTTAAAGTACGAGGACGCTTATACGCTTATATAATATAATATTATTTCGTATATATAATTTGTGTTTTTCTGATGTTAACATCAGTGATAACAGAAGCATCCATAATTTGTGTTTTGTAACAAATAGCACCAAAATCTCATTTCTTTTCGGCAATCAACAAACGTACATTTGTACAAAGATGCACACCATTACAAAGATTGACATGTCACTGCAAACATGATACAAAAGCTTGATGATTGTAGCAGAATTACTTGGGCATCTTATATAAGAATATTGTTAAACACGTATGGATTTGGTTTTGTGTGGGTAAGCCAAGAAGTTGGTAGTGTAAATGATTTTGTATTTATGTTTAAACAAAGACTTGTAGATTTTGCAAAGCCAAATATGTTTAGCAAAATAAATGAATCAGCACATTTATCTTATTACAAATCATTAAAGTCATTACTGGATGTTGAATACTATATTTCTAATGTACATCTAAAGGAATATCGCCGTTATTTATGCTTATTACGTATTCAACAATTGCCTCTCCTATGTAATGTAAGATGTCAAGATGACAGTGGGTTAAGCAAAATATGCAAAATGTGTAACCGCTATAATTTTGAAGATGAATTACATTTTGTACTTGTCTGTGATGCATATGCAAATTTAAGAAGCAAATACCTACCAGAATTTAATTGTCCATCTGTTTTAAGCAAATATCATAAGTTGTTAACATGCAAAGATAAGAATTTACTTATAAAAATTTCATTATTTATTAAACATGCACTATCTAAAAGGAATTCTATCCAATGTTAGAAGAGACATGTATATATATACCTATGTATATGTTTAAACCATATTGTCTATATATCATATACCACTTTGCATTTATTGTACACGGGCCAATGGCCTATATACCGAAATAAATTCTTCTTCTTCAAACATGATACATGTATAATTCAACCACTACAGATAGTACGAAAGTAACACAAAATAGTAGTAACAAATATTGTTAGTAAGCAAAAGACTGGAATCAAACACTGTTTCGCAATGTACACCACTCACGAACACATATATTAAGGGTATCAATTATAGGTTCCATACGGTTTATGTCAAAATAGTTTTAAACAATACTACATGCAAGATTACCTTTGGTATATGAGTATTTTGTATCATAATAAATAATGATTTACTGCCGTCTCTTCTGTTTATCGTTTAACATTTTAGATTTGATTTAATTTGTTGTTTAACGTCTAACTCAGCAATATTCAAGCTATATGACGGTGGTCTGTTAATAATCTCTCCTGGACCAGACAATCCAGTGATTGACATTAGGAGCATCGATCTGCGCAACTGGTATGTGCTGACATTTATCAAACATTTTGCAATGCAGGTTTATGAAGCCTGTTAACATCAACTTTAGGACACTATCAAACAAACTCCATGGACTTACCCCTCGTATAATGTTACCACAGATGTTATGGTCCGTGTGAAGTTCGTCCGTTCTGTAGTAATGTAGGATAGAAGCGAACACCCCCGGGTGTCTGTCATAGAAGAATTCCTTGGTGTCAGGGTCCCAGCTCTCGTCTCGCTCGTGAAGAATAGCCATGGTGGCAAGACGGGTTCCCGGTTTGCGCTCCAGGGTGCTTCTCAGGGTCTGAAAGGCCACCCCTCCGACATTGATGGTCAGCCGCCGGTCAAGCTTCCGGGCCCTGGTCAGTAGAGACTCCATGTCCTTGTCCACTGATATAGGTATACGAACTTCTTTCAGCCGGTCATCGCAGTCCTTTAAGATATCCACTTTGGGTTCAGTCTGGCTCCTATAAAGGAACCACTAGCATCGTGTTTAGAGTATGTAAGTTTTAAATAAGTGTTCGACTATAATGGTACAAAGTTGGTCCAGGAATACTATTCAAAAGGGGTTTGTTCTGTCTGATATTAGCGTGTGTATTGTTCCTCCACACGTTTTACGTGTTGTGAATTTATCTTGGTTCGGGAACTATGAACTGAACACGGACCAATTCCATGTGGCACAGGAATACACGCACTTGACATCCAGAATTATTCTTACTGCCCATTGCCTGATTACACCTTTACAATCCAACTCGAAACCTTCCTCCACACAGATTCCAATAATCCAATTCTGCCTAGTAAGAGCACAAGACCAAACTGCACTTGTAAACCTCAAGGCTTCGCAAAACTGTTGTCCTAACTAAACATGAGAACAGAGTCAGGCGACGTGGCCCGTGCTAGCGACTGACAGTATGTAATGGACTACCCAACGACTCTCCACCTCCAGGTGCGGGAGAAATCTACCTGCGCTATTGTCCCTCCGATCGTTCCGTCTGCTATTGGAGTCGACCGTATCTACAATAGGCACCAGCCTATTCCCTCGAGGATTAGGACAATTGCGTACCACCATTAACTGACTAGCAATCAATAAATCCCGAGTCGTGATATCGCTCTCAATACAATCACCGGTCACCATTTAAACCTCCTGCCATCAAATAAGTAAAACTTTAAAGATGCTTTCAGGTACATACAAGTTGAATCCGAGTGACTGGAGAATGAAAAGCTATTTAGGTTTAGCGGGACATATATTATCAATGCTTTTGCTGTCATTTAATGGGAAGCTTTAAGGCCAATACCCCCGAACATGTTTTGCAGGTTTTGAGTCTAAATAGCCCAAATCGAATTCTATTAAACAACGCCATCGGTTATTGATTACCTTAAATGACTACAACCATTTTAAAAGGAGATAGAATTCTGAGTAGGATATTCGATAGTTTCCGTTTTGGGCAGTGACCACTGAAGTGTTACTATTTGACGCAGTATTCACGTTGTACCTGTCACTTCGTGTTCAGATGCAGACGATTTCCGGTTGCTGCTTTGACTGCGCATGCGTTACACAACTTGGACATGCAAATGCAATTTAGAAAAATCCTCTATGCATAATATTTTATTCATGTTCGAGTAAAAATATCCAGACGGGAAATTAAATAATGATTGCCCATCAGTATCGGAGAACATGTAAAAAAGTGTACACATTGTCTTGCCAGCGCATCGCGCATTATAAATTTAATTACAGTTTGTCATGATCGTGTATGTTTATACGCTCAATAAACCACAATTACCGTATTTACAATTGAAGTATGATTTATGAATGAAATAAATACGAGCATGAAAAACACATTTAAATTGCACCGGAGGGAGATTTAATACAAGGTTATTCATAAAGCTTATTGGATCAAGTGTATTCTCCGATTATTCTCCAGATTATGGCAATTTGGTCGCCCACACTGTGTCCGAGTTTGTGAATCTGACCAAAGAGGAAGACGTGAACGTCCTGTATAACTGTCTGTCGGCGTTTAATCCATGTTCAGCAACGTACAGCTCCAGGTACTGCTAAATTCATACGGTGTGAGCGAATGTCTTTCTCATGTCAACTAATGATAGTTAGTGTACATCACGGTACACTAAACACCCGCAGTTAGTGTATGACAGTATCCAAGCAAACGCGAAGTTAGTGTATAATGGTAAGCTAGCCACCCGCAGTTAGTGTATGACAGTATCCTAGCAAACGCAAAGTTAGTGTATAACGGTAAGCTAGCCACCCGCAGTTAGTGTATGACAGTATCATAGCAAACGCGAAGTTAGTGTATAATGGTAAGCTAGCCACCCGCAGTTAGTGTATGACAGTATACCAGCAAATGGTATGTTAGTCTATAATGGTAAGCTAGCCACCGCAGTTAGTGTATGACAGTATCCCAGCAAACGCGAAATTAGTGTATAATGGTAAGCTAGCCATCCGCAGTTTGTGTATGACAGTATCCTAGCAACGCGAAGTTAGTGTATAATGGTAAGCTAGCCACCCGCAGTTAGTGTATGACAGTATCATAGCAAACGCGAAGTTAGTGTATAATGGTAAGCTAGCCACCCGCAGTTAGTGTATGACAGTATCATAGCAAACGCGATGTTAGTGTATAATGGTAAGCTAATCACCCGCAGTTAGTGTATGACAGTATCATAGCAAACGCGAAGTAAGTGTATAATGGTAAGCTAATCACCCGCAGTTAGTGTATGACAGTATCCCAGCAAACGCGATGTTAGTGTATAATGGTAAGCTAGCCACCCGCAGTTAGTGTATGACAGTATCCTAGCAAACGCGAAGTTAGTATATAATGGTAAGCTAGCCACCCGAAGTTAGTGTATGACAGTATCCTAGCAAACGCGATGTTAATGTATAATGGTAAGCTAATCATCCGCAGTTAGTGTATGACAGTATCCTAGCAAACGCGAAGTTAGTATATAATGGTAAGCTAGCCACCCGCAGTTAGTGTATGACAGTATCCTAGCAACGTGAAGCTAGTGTATAATGGTAAGCTAGCCACCCGCAGTTAGTGTATGACAGTATCATAGCAAACGCGAAGTTAGTGTATAATGATAAGCTAGCCACCCGCAGTTAGTGTATGACAGTATCCCAGCAAACGCGAAATTAGTGTATAATGGTAAGCTAGCCACCCGCAGTTAGTGTATGACAGTATCCTAGCAAACGCGATGTTAGTGTATAATGGTAAGCTAGCCACCCGCAGTTAGTGTATGACAGTATCCCAGCAAACGCGAAGTTAGTGTATAATGGTAAGCTAGCCACCCGCAGTTAGTGTATGACAGTATCCCAGCAAACGCAAAGTTAGTGTATAATGGTAAGCTAGCCACCCGCAGTTAGTGTATGACAGTATCCTAGATAACGCGATGTTAATGTATAATGGTAAGCTAATCACCCGCAGTTAGTGTATGACAGTATCCCAGCAAACGCGTGTAAATGGTAGTAGCCACCCGCAGTTAGTGTATGACAGTATCCTAGCAACGTGAAGCTAGTGTATAATGGTAAGCTAGCCATCCGCAGTTAGTGTATGACAGTATCCGCAAACGCGAAGTTAGTGTATAATAGTATGCCACCCGCAGTTATCCAGTATCAGCAACGTGTATAGCTAGCACCCGCAGTGTATACATGGTATAACGCTAGCCACCCGACAGTATCCTAGCAAACGCGAAGTTAGTGTATAATGGTAAGCTAGCCACAGTAAGTGTATGACAGTATACCAGCAAACGTTAGTCTATAATGGTAAGCTAGCCACCCGCAGTTAGTGTATGACAGTATCCCAGCAAACGCGAAATTAGTGTATAATGGTAAGCTAGCCACCCGCAGTTAGTGTATGACAGTATCCTAGCAACGTGAAGCTAGTGTATAATGGTAAGCTAGCCACCCGCAGTTAGTGTATGACAGTATCCTAGCAACGTGAAGCTAGTGTATAATGGTAAGCTAGCCATCCGCAGTTAGTGTATGACAGTATCCCAGCAAACGCGAAGTTAGTGTATAATAGTAAGCTAATCACCCGCAGTTAGTGTATGACAGTATCATAGCAAACGCGATGTTAGTGTATAATGGTAAGCTAGCCACCCGCAGTTAGTGTATGACAGTATCCTAGCAAACGCGAAGTTAGTGTATAATGGTAAGCTAGCCACCCGCAGTTAGTGTATGACAGTATCCCAGCAAACGCGAAGTTACTGTATAATGGTAAGCTAGCCACCCGCAGTTAGTGTATGACAGTATCCCAGCAAACGCGAAATTAGTGTATAATGGTAAGCTAGCCACCCGCAAGTTAGTGTATGACAGTATCCTAGCAACGTGAAGCTAGTGTATAATGGTAAGCTAGCCACCCGCAGTTAGTGTATGACAGTATCATAGCAAACGCGAAGTTAGTGTATAATAGTAAGCTAGCCACCCGCAGTTAGTGTATGACAGTATCCTAGCAAACGCGAAGTTAGTGTATAATAGTAAGCTAGCCACCCGCAGTTAGGGTATGACGGTATCCTAGCAACGCGAAGTAGGTATATAACGGTATCCTGTCCCAGGCCTGATCCTACAACAGATGCACTCTAGAGTGATATAGTCCTATAACAGATACACTCCAGAGTGGCCTGATCCTTCACCAGAGCGGCCTGATCCTTCACCAGATACACTCCAGAGTGGCCTGATCCTACAACAGATCCACTCCAGAGTTATATGATCCTATAACAGATCCACTCCAGAGTGATATGGTCCTACATCTGATACATTCCAGATTCAAATTATTCCAGAATTAAATCGCTCCCATCTCTGGATCGAAACACTCCCTTCTTGATAGAACCAATAACTCTCAGGATAGGATAACTCTCTCGGAAACAAATGCGAAATGTACACTATTTGTATTTGGAAATGCCATAACTCAACTTAAGAATGGCACCAAATGCCACAAAACTATCTACCGGGTATTCATTTTTAAGGGCACAGGGCATAGTTGTCGCAATCCCCAAGTAGAAAAAAAACTTAAGTCAATTTATAAATCATTCTAAGCATTAAAAATCCATAAACTCCACACAAAGAACTTAGTCAAGCACCCCTTGACATATCTCACGATTGAATGAGCCCCGAACTTAACCCTTTGGAACATATCTGGGACATGATTGGTCGTCTTGTGCAACAAAGGGATCCTCCTGTACAGAACCTGGCCCAATTGGAAGCTGCTTTACACGAGGAATGGCGTAGACTGCCCCTTCAGAGGATCAGGGGGTATGAGGAGGAGAGTGCTGGCTGCCATACAGTCACATGGAGGTTACACTCGGTATTGACCTTGAATTGTGTAAGACACGCAAAATGACATTTTCGAATGTTCATATTCACCAATAAATTCAACATTAAACATTCCAGGGCCATACTTGTACAGACATGGTTTTGTATGAAAATCAGTGTTGATGGGTTTTTAAATGAGCAAGTGTCATCATAAAATCAACATGGATTTCAATCACTTTGTTGTTTTTCCATGCATCAAAGGATCATACGGGTCAGAAAAACATGTTTTTCCATCATGGTCACTACGAGAAGTCTTATGTACATGTTGAAAACATATCATTGCAAAAGTACAGGGGGTGCTTAATTAAGTTCTTTGTGTATATATTTAATAATGTAAATGAATGCAGCATTCTTTAGAAACATATGAAAAGTATCACTCCTTAAAATGAATATTTAGATAAATATCTGGTTGCATGTAGCGATTATCATTATTGGCGTAACGCCACAGTTTCACTATAGTAGTTTACGATTAAACAAATGTGAGTGTGACTGAGTGAATTTGGTTTTACGCCGCTTTTAGCAATATTCCAGCAATATCACGGCGGGGTATACCAGAAATGGGTTCACACCTTGTACCTATGTGAGGAATTTAACTCAGGTCTTCAGCGTGACGAGCGAACGCTTTCACCACTAAGCTACCATACTAAACAAATTGTGCACTATTGCCTTTGAATGACAGTGTATTAAAATTAGTTTCAAAACTACTTCTGTTTTCAAATCTTATACATAAGAGTGGCTATATGGTAGGAGGTGAGGTGAGGTGAAATTGGGTTTAACGTCGTGCTTGAGAATATTTCGCTCATATGACGACGTGCATGCGTGTGTATGTGTATGTGCGGCTGCTTGTACTAGCCCAGACTTAAGCTGGTTTTATAGTGCACACTACGATACC